AGCTTTAATGGGCCATCTTGCCCTTTATTTTATCAACAAAGACAACATACTTTCCTATCTTCATGCTCGGAATTTATTACTTAAACATCATGCACCTTTGAATTTTAAGTTTCCTCTCCTTCTGTGATCTGTTGTTATTATTCTTTACTAGCTTTCTCGGGTTTGAATACTTGTTCCTATTGACCATTAAAAAAAAAAAAAAAAAAAAAAAAAAAAGAATTGCAACATAGTACAGTATTCCATTTTGCCAATTTACTTTGATTTAAGAGTATTAATTGGATATAATAGGTCAAAGGAATTGAAGTGAACTTTAAGCTTTTGAAAATGTAACTGATGGGTATGTTTCATTTATGCATAGCAATTTGGCCAAAATCACTTGTCAGTTTGTGGAGACAAGAAGGACACCTCCCTCTCCACGAACTCCAGTGATCTCTTGAACCTCCCAAAATATTTTCCCACCAACAAAAGAATAAACCCTTTTGCAAAAGGATTCAACTAAAGATTAGTGAGACACAAGTTCACCTTTTTTGGGGGGGCACTAACTGTGAGAGGTAACTGAAACATCACAGGTCAATCTCAGAATTCAAAGTTCTTTGCATGCTTTACACAAATTGGAAGAAAGATATGATATATAATGATAGTGTCTCAAATGTCAGGCTATTACTTTTGACGTACATTCTACTTTGAATAAAACAGTAACTTGCTGGGTCAGATTTTGTACAAAAGAAACTTCTCCACTGATGGATAGGCATAAATAAAATAACATAAAGCTGTGGAAAATCTTTATGGTTAAATAAAGTTGATGGATTGTATATACAGTACTCACTATATCAGTCATTTGTGGAAAGTTATAACTGTGAAGGAACCTCACTCATCCATTATTCCATCTCATGCTAGCATTATTTAAGAGTTGTGATGTAAAATGTAGACCAGTACGTATATTGCATCAAACAGATGGTCCTAAGACAACCAAACTCGAACATAGTCTTTGTCAAATAGAGGAAAGACTATGTGAAATGGTCCTAAAATATTTTAATCAATACCTTTCTACACGACGTGCAATCCTAGCATAATTTGGCAGAAAGTGATTGGATTCAATGGCCAACTCAAAAGAGTCGACTTCAGTTAAAACTAATTCTAGAGCTATATGTGATCCATTTAAGGCATCCAGTTTATGGAGCTAGCCAAACTCAGTTGCTCAATTATAGTATTGGATACAGATGCCACACAGGTTTGCTACTCTGAACCGGCAACAAAATGTATCAGACCTTAGTTTGGAAAGCAAACATACATGACTTGTGAAAGCCTAATAAAATGGAGGACACACAAGTATATATATACAGATAATTCTGGTTATGGGTAGCAGAAACTAGTTCTATGGTTGTGATTAAAGCAAAGAGGTGGGAATCAATAAGTTTCCCACAGTAAAATTATAATGTATTGAGATTTATTATGTTATTGGCTCAATAAAGATATTGGGCTGATAAAGATCATCGGATTGACTTAAATTAAAGTAGACATCCTAAGATTATTCTAAAGTTTGTTATCCAAAGTGACAAAAGAAATTCAATAAAGAAGTTGACCAAATAATTTATCTGTGCCTGTGACATGTTGCTGTATCCTGCATGTATGCAGATGAATGCAAGGGAGGGAAGGGTTTAATTCTCAAACCAAATAGAATGAATCATATAACAGAATATAGTATAAAAAATAAACAGAAGAACTTAGACAAACTAAAAATATTTGCTACTTCCACTTTCATTAATCAAGTTCTTGAAGATGAATTTTTTTTTTTTTCTCATCAACTAAGAGTAACAGGGTTTCTAGGATCACTGTGATCCCAGATTTTCTGTAATGAAAACACTAGAAGAGATAACGATCCCTCCTCTAATATATTGTAGCAGAAGCTTTGGTAATATGCATTTATGCAGAGAATCTTCTATATAGTTGAGGTATTAATTCTACATGTTCTAGAGTCTCTGGTTGTTAATCAAAATTTGGCAGCCGATGAAGCTAGCAGCAGTCAACCTATCAGCTAATTATCTCCAGTATAAGGCTCTCAAGCAACAGCATGACATTTATATCCCCCAGAGTTTACAGCAAGCATATAAACACGAGCCCAAGAAACCAAGAGATTGGCCAATAACATTCCACTGAAAGCAAAATATGGCAGTAGTTGGCACAAGAAAATAAGTGGTTTAAGCTTGTTATGTAAAGGTATGTATAAACTATAAGAACAGATAAAGTATATAATCACCAAATCAAATGGAAGTCCCCCAAACAACAGCCAGCCGAGTCCAATAGTAAAAAGGTCCTACAGTAGCAAAAACAGGAGTTCACAAAGGTCATGGGATGAGCAGTTTAACGGCAGAGAACAGGAAAGAATATTTAACAGATTTTTCAAAGATTAAGGATAACAGGTTACACTCAAAACAGAATGTGATTTTCTGGCAAAAAATAATTCTGGTTTATTAAAAAGAAACAAGCTTAATATTGGTAAAGTTTCCAGCCCTCCTTGCCAACTTTTAGGATCTATTCCTCTGTTAGGATACACTTCCATCCAGCAAATATGATTTGTTAGCACCGATATTTAGCCATGATACTAAAATTTAATCACATAATTGATCATCTAACTCAGAAGTAGCTCAGGCAAAATCAATTGAAAATGCTAAAATGTCACAAAAGTCTATGAATGAGATGGTTCTAGGCCGCCAAGCAATTGACTTCTGCTCTATAATGACAAAAATAATGTTCAAGCTACTTGACTTACCAGAACAAAATCAATGTTAATCCAGCAAATTAAAAGAGTAAAATATTAAAATGCAAAACCAAATTAGGGTAAAGGGAAGCTTTTGCATCTGCATGTTTGTAGGGTAGCACAAGTTAAACATGCATTACACACCTTCAAATTGCCACAAATTGTCTGTGTGAGTGCTGAATTGAGGGTTGTGTTCAAAAATACGTAATAGTTTATCAAGAAAGCCATGATACAGGAAAGAAGCATCACAACCTGCAAACATTTCAACACAATAATATTTAGTTAGACCACCGACTCAACCACTGATTCAGTAGTTATATTGAATACCCCAAATTTAGTAAACACTGGCATGTTGGCTCCTTATTATGGTGAAATAGAAGCTCATCAAGCAGATTCTGTAATAAACATTGAGTGTTACATTACCTAAATTTTATGGATCACATGTACTGTAGTTTCATTACTAATTAGAGCTTATGATCTTGAAATATACGGTTATAATGAATTTGACCCAAGTTCAAAGCCATAAAATCTTCAACTTGAATTTCTTTCTCAAGTTGAAGATATCAAACATATAGACGAGTGGATTCCAATAACACTAAGAGGGGTAAAATGATAATTGTGGGCTAAAGCTTAAACTTTGATATAACAATTAGACCAAGGAGAGATAAGTATAACATTTAATTCTTCAACTACCTTGATTTATATATTCAAAACAGAAAGCAGAGATGTGATTTGGGTTTGTTATTGTGATGGTAAATCTCATATTTCAGCCAAAGTAGATATTTACAGGAATCAATGAAACCAGTCTTATACAAATACGCAATACGCAATACAGAATATTGAAACAAGAGCAAACTGCAAAGCAAGCATCAAGAAAAAAAAAAAAAAAAAAAACAACATTGATTGTAATCCTTTATGTCTAATTTCAGAATAATATGTTGTATAACCAGATAAGCCACAGTTACAGTGTCATCTCTTTTTGTCAATGGCAATTGGTTGGAAGGAACAACAGTTTAATGATGGTTATAACAAATACTTCGACAGGTGAAATACCAAACAGGGGAAAATAGTAGGAAAATTAGAAGAATTGCTGGCTAAATAAAAGCAGGAAATAATGCACACAATCATTTCAAACATCTCATGACCCAAATGCTACATTAAATTAACAAAATCAAGAAAAGGGGAGCGAAACTCCAGTCACGAGTAGAAAAAAAATAAGAAAAGAAGTTATCAACTTCAGAAAAGGAAGTACCTGAAAGCCTGGGTAGAATAAAAGGGGAAAGTTCATAGTCACTTCTAAATCACCTTTGACTGATGTCCAGAACAGCAAGATTGGTGTGCATATTATTCCTAAAAAGAACCGGTAAATAGATTATTCAACTGAGCTGTGAAGGGAAAAATATGTTGTACTTAGGCTTTTCATCTTACCATTGCACCACATAAGGCCAAAGCTATTCAGGCCACTGGATTTACCTGGAAAAGATTGAAGAATATGCCATAAATTTATATGAAAAAAAGATATAAACCTTCAAATAAGAAGTGAGATGTGAAATTGCATAAGAATAAAATAGTACCAATACGAGCAATGGATGCAAGATATATTGCTGTACAGATGTTCGCTATGAAAACAACAGCATAGCCATAGGCATCAAATGACAAGTCCCGAGCCCCAGCAATGATTGCACCGAGTATAATAGTTCCCACACTGATGAAATCCTTGAATTTATTCCACTAAGAAGGCAACTAACCACATGTATATATAAAAGATAATCTATCATAGATAAAAGTATATGGAATGACATTCTAAGCCATGCAGTTGAGACTACTTTATTTCCCATTTTAAGATAGTTCAAAAAACTGATAACTGTATATGCTCACACATAATCGAGGCCTTCAAAATTTTGATCAACAAAGGCAATCAAGAATCCTTTTGGCATTTAAATTACACGACTTATTCCATCAAAAAATTCAACTTCTGAGGATGCTGTAACTACTAAATCGGGAAACTCGGATTTACAACAAGTTTGACAATGGGCAAAGAACACAAAGGAACAACTTTACTTAGTTTTAGTAGTCGGATTTGTTGAATTACAGTTTTTGGCACCTATATAATGGACATTGAATATTGCAAAAACTAGTCTTCCCCTCTTCACAACAGTAATTTTGGGTAAAGAATGAGAAAGCAACGTGAAAGGAAAGACTCCTAACACAATACAGGCTATGACGGTTGGTTCCAGAACTTTGGATATCAAACCTTTCCAGTACAAATGCATATAAAAATCTGTTTTCCCTCTAAATTAAAAATTATACCAATAATCCATAAATCATACCTAATGGAAACCATCTTCCTGAAAATAAACTTAACAAATTAATTAATCACTGTTTTACGTTATGATTGATTTCATATTTAACAGTTTATTTTTTAAGTGTACGTTTTTTTTGGCTATTATCAAGTATTTAATTGTAATTGTTAAAACAGTATAAATATTACCACATGGTAAGAGATATCACTATAATTGAAGTAATACATCTTTGTCTAAACTAGATATCACCCAAAAGATATAGCATGGATACTTCACAGATAAACGATCTGCAAGTTAAAAAAGGGGGACCAAACAGTTTCTTTGTAGAAGATACTAATAATGTTTGATATCTTTTAGATAATTATAAGAGTATTCTTCATTATAAACACTTTGAGGAACATGTGTTTAATAACTAGCTAAAAAGCATTCTGCAGACCCACAGGGACGGTGTTGAAACCATGGATGAAGTTTTCCTACTTCCAGTAACAGCAAAGGTTTAATCGTCAGAAGAAAGTTAAAAAGGTAGTGTACCTGCCAACAACAGAAAGTGAGTGTTTCTGCCCTGTCAATAGATACTCCACAATCATCGTAAAAGCCACTGTGGTCCGCCTGAGGGTGGTGTACATGGGAACATTTATGCCTCGCACAGCTTCCATTGTGACCAGCTTTCAATAAAAAAAAAAAAGACAAATATTGGGAATATTGCAAGGAAATATTTAAGCTTTCACCAAGGTAGGAAAAGCTTGTGAAATATTGTCTACCATAAAATACGTACCATATATAGCAAATATGCTATTGCTAGAGGAAGGGTATGAATTAATGTCTTCAATGGTACTAGGGTTAATGGATTATAAGTGGTGCTCTGTGGTTCAATAGCTGTGAAAGAGATGACCTTCCAGCATTTCAGTGCATAGAGAATTGAACATGAACATAGCAGCTAGCAAACAAGATATAAAATGCACAAGTCAACTAATGAAGTACTCAAAGATAACAAACACCAGATTTGACAACACAGTTTTCCAGAAGGCAGCAAAAATTGTTGAAGCGGTAAAAGAATTGCAGTAAGCTATCGCTTGCTAGCTGTGCAGCTAACAGCTTAGAACTTAAAATAAATAGTCTGGTAAATGAGACAATTTTGGCAAGTAGACTACCTGAAAAAGTGTGATGACATTTACACATGAGAAACTATATGAAGAAAGAGCTGCTTTGTTGAACATTACCAAGAGAACTGCAAATTGGAGGAAAAGGAAAGATCATACGAGTTATGATGAGACACATTCACAGAAAATCAGATAATTAAGACATGTAAAGGACAGTAGCAAAAGTTTGATCAATAAACAATTAAAACCAGTAAATCACCATTCTCATATCAAACTATCACAAGTTAGAAGAAAAAAAAATAAAAAACAACTCAAAGAACTCCGTGGATGACAATATGTATAATGAGGTAAATATTGAGATTTATCAGGAACAAATAAATAGTGAATCACTTATACTAGAGAAATGTTGATAACTGTTTCCTGCTCACTCTCTGCTGCAGTTGTTGGTTTCTTATCATGCCACATGTCTAGAGTTTATGTGGATGATGCCACACATTTAATGTTTTCATTTTGTTTTCTTAAAGCACATAAAGACGGGACACAATGGGTGAAGAGAAGTCAGCAACTATTGTAGAGCTCTCCTCTATATACTAATTACAAAATTAGTAGTTAAAAGAAAAGAGCAAAAGATAATGTGATAATGGCATTGGTATTGTTTTTAATCCAACATCCCCTCCTCCCCCAAATCAAACCCAAAAACTTCAATCTTAGGTTAAGATACCAACTAAGACAGTCAATACTTACTCATGGCATGGATATTCAACAACTAAAAAAAGAAAACTGGAGGAAGAGACAGTTGGGCAAAAGAAAATGAAAATAATTACAAAAATCATGACGAAAACTATCTCTTCTGGCAAGGGGTTTCTATTAACATTATTTGAATAAACAAAACCAAAACTGCAAGCAATAAGATAACCTGTCCACCATTAGATATAGAGAACACATATTATATTAAGGATTAACTTTATCAGGAATTAGTTCAAAGATGTCAAACACCTGGAACTCACCAATTTGAATGAGTAAGGCAGGCAATTAAACCCAAGAGAGGGATTGTTTATTACAGTGTTACTAGACGACTTAAGGATGCTTATTTATAAACAAAGTAACATTCTTATCGCATAAGATAAACATTCTCTCATTTTAAAAGACCACATATGAATCATGCTTGACTTCAAAATCATTTCTACATGGTCTTATGTGTAATACTTTCTCAACCTCACCTTCTTTGGAATAAATGGTTCGAAAATCAAAATGGTTATTTTTTAGTCTTGGTTATATCTTCAGCATTTCAATTTATCGTAGTTTTGATGAGAAATCTTTAAATTTTCTCGCTCCATAATAGCTCTAAAATCCATCTCTTCATATCTCTAACATCTTCACATCTCACATACTATTTTATTACAAAAACTACAATTCCCCACCATATATCTCATGAAAATGCCCTTAAATACACCCTCCACCGATGCAAAATGATAGACGCTCAATAATCTGGGAATTAAGCACACATTGCAAATGAAAATTTGTTTCTGCCTCACAATAATTTTCACATTTGTCATTCCATCTCAGATGTCCTCAATGACTCTAACAAATTCACTAGACATTCTTACTCATATTAACAGACCAGCTGCAATATCTCGTCAAAGATCCTACTCTGCAACATGAAATATTCCACAAATTCCTTTCTTCTTCTAAGTTTAGAACCTTTTTCTTCTTTCCCAAGCATACAACAAAATTAAGTTTTCAACCCTCAAAATTCCTGAAAAATCCTCCCTTTAGTTGCTCACAAGCACATTTGTATATGACTTGAATGCAGGATTTCAGTGTATTTAGCATATGAAATAGAGATAGGTCTTAGTTTCAACCCAATCACTCTTCCAAAGTTGAAAAAACAGAGTCATAATTTTAAACAACAAAATCAACACAGAAGCAAAAAGTTGTCAACTTTACTTACTTTCTCCATTTTATGACTCACGTAGAACTTAAAACTTTCCTCTTCCCCACATTTTCTCAGCAACCAAATAAAGCATAACCAAAAATAAATACAACAGCAACATTTTTATAGAAAACCCCATCAAGAATACAACAAAAAGTTTTCTTTTAACAAAGCAACTTTCAAGGTAGAAAGTAACATTAAAAGTTGTTTCATGAAATAAGTCCAAACATTAAAAGAGAAAAAACAAAAAAAAGCATTACCAGCAGAAGCCATGTAAGAGACAGCTGCATAGACACCTCTTTTAGTCATGGCAGAACCTTTTGACTGCTCTTGGCTTTTCAATGAACCGTCGTCTACTGTCACTGGTAATCCTTCACTCTTGACTGAAGAAGCCATTGTTTTGTTATAATTTGTTTAAAGTCTGAAAAAGATACAAACTTTTATTTGAGAATGAATCAGAGAAGAAAACACGAGTTTAAGTAGTGCAGTGAGCCATGAGTGGCAGGGACAGTGGCATACTTTTTAAGAAGTGAGGGTCCACTTATGCTAGGTCCCAGCTCAGATATTCATCACCCCATCATTCTTTTTCCTTTTCTTATTCTTTTTTATTATTAATTAAAATATTATCAATTAATTATTTATTACTTTATCAAGAACATACTTTAAATAGATTTTTATTTTAATTTATTTTTTAGTATTATCAAAATTCAAAAGTGTTTTGAAACATTGTATAAAGTTGCATACAGCCAATCTTGCAAATATTTAGATTTAAATGGGAATAAATATTTGAATATTCATGAAAGGTAAAATATAAAGATATGTTTTTAATTTGAATGACCCTATACAACATATTCAAGATGACTAAAAAGGAATCAAATCAATAGAATCCAAATAAATATTCATACCATATCTTAATAGGGGTATTTCATATTTGAAAATGCAATAGGGAAGATATCAATTGTCACATTGAATTATTTATATGACAAAAATTAAAGAAAGATAATGTGTTATGTCATGAAACTGTTTTCAACTTTGTATCAAGATAAATTCTATACTAAAACTTTTTTTTTTAAATAATAATTCTCAAAACCTCATATAAACTTAGAAAACATATGATAAAGTAAGTTTTATTATTTTTATAATGCTTTTTTATCTCTTAAATTTAATCCCGATATATAATTGCGTGGTAAGTTTAACTTGGTAATTGTTGGAAGAGTAAACTATATATATATATATTTTTTTTAAGTAGTACCATTAAAAGATAAAGAGTGTACAGAGAGGTAATAAAAAACGACTATCCTACCTCAGGATAGGCTCTGGGATAGAAACAAAAACATAAACCCAATAAACCTCTTTTTTGTCTATCTTAAGCACGCAAAGGATAGAGACAAGAGGAGAAGAGCAAGTAAAGGAATACAAAGACAAAGACATCCTATCATAGGACATGCCTTGGGATAGGATTCAAAAGAACCTAAACAAGACTAAGAGCAACAATACATAACATTATTCCTACCTTAGGAGAAGCCTTGGGTTAGGGAAACCCATGTTCGTCACATGTTGGTTTTGAAGATAGTCATAGGTAATTCCCAAATCTCCGCAAGTCTTCTATTGGCCATGGAAGATTTCATTTTGTTGAGGTCCACAGCCTATCGCTCACCATGTTCCGAATGTGGTTGTGAATTGTCCAAGCATCCATAAAATCCCCTTTAAAAAATCTATTGTTCCTCTCCCTCCAAATGAAATAGACTGTAGCACCCAAGCATAATTTACCTATGGCATATTTGAGTTTGTTTCTCTTCCAATTCATGGATAAGGAATTGACATAGTCATGCCAAGGCACCTCCCTATAACCAAAAGAAGAGACCGCAAGAACACGACACCAAATGGACTTTGTGAAAGTGCATGTGAAGAAAAGATGATCCAAAGATTCTTGGGCCGATTTACAAAAACAACAACATGCATTTTGAGCAATACCATACCTCATCAATTTGTCTTTGGTGCCGAACTTCTCTTTAATAGCCATCCAAAGAATCATAGCATGTCTAGCAATTGATTTCCTAAACCACACAAGGTGGTGCCATTCTACTTTAGTTTTTCTTAATCTCACTTCATTCTAAGCCTACTTGATTGAAAAACCACTAGCCATAGAAGGTACCCCTATAATTTTATCCCCACTCATAGAGGGATCAAAATTCACAAGTTTTTTAATTTCCATTAAAGCATAAGAATTTGCAACCAGCCATTTCCAAGTAAACAACATGTTCCCACCCCAAGATTAGCAAAATGGCAAGGTTCCACCTCTAGTTTCATTTATTCCAGATTCCCACCCTTTAAGTAACACCGTTAGCGATATTCAGGTTATGACACATATGCAAAGAGTACTATTATCATACTGCCCTTGACAACCTGACAAACACACCCCTAAGATTTTCTTAGTATTTACATATTTGAAAACCTAACAAACACACCCCTGCAACTGTTGTTGCGGCTTCTGCAACTGTTATGGCATAGTGGTGGTGGCTGTGGCAAGAACTTATTTTTTTCTCTTTTATTTTTTCACCTTTTTCTCCACCCATCTCCCCTACCCACCAACACTTAGCAAAGCTCTCCCACCCTCCTTCCACCCGTAAAGCACGCCCTCTCCTCCATGGCCAACAATTCCACCCGACCCACCTTCCATCCATCTAGCACAATAGCCTCCCATCCCCAATAGCCAACCATTACAGTCCCACCCACACAATATCACAGCCATAGAACACTACAAAAAAGTCCTTTCGTAGAACACTTTATGTGCAATCAAGAAAAGGTGGACGATGAGAGTTTTGGGGAGCATCGGTGACTGGAAATCAACAATAAAGCCTTAAAACACTTCAAAAAACCTTCCTCAACCGTCCTCCAACTGAAACAAACAAGAAATTTGAACCAATCAATCCAAATTCATCTTTCACACCAGGAAATCCCTAGGGCAGGGGAGCTTCAATCGCTGACGAACAGTGAGCGAACCGAAACAAGATTGTTGGGAATTTTGGAAAGGAAGAACTGATGGGTCGATTTGTGGTGACAACATCAATTTTTGGTCAAATAATCGACCAGAAAAGCAAATGACCAATCGAGAAGGTGGTCGGCGAACGATGGCCAAGCATGTTAAAAATCGAGGTACAATTGCTTGATTCAAAAAAATGACACATTGATACTTACATTAAACTATCCATAAATAGAGATGACAATTGTACCTCGATTTTCGGGTACCTGGCTTAACCCAGCCCATATGGGCCGAGCATTACCAACTGTTTGCGAGGATAAGCATGGGCTGAGGTACGGTTTTAGGGCCTTGCCCTAGGTAAGGGTCAAGCCTGGGACAACCATCGTCTAGGCCCAACCAGAGTTTTTAACATGGGCCATTGTTAATTTTATTATTTTATGTATCAGCCCAACCTATGTTAATTTTTACATTTTATTTTCTCAACTCACTCTTTATATATATATATATTACTTGGATTAGGCAAAGTGGTAACTTGCTATGAGTATATGCAAATTCTTCTTCTCAATTCATGCTATTTTTTCCCCATTTCCTAGGTAAAAATATCAATTGAAGATGCTGTCTATTGTTTTTATATGTGAATAAGAACGACATCAAAAAGCTCCTATGCAATTAATCTAATGGGTTTCCTAAAGCAAGTTCAATAGTATTTCCACATATATTAAATATTTTTAAAGTTGATATTAAGGCACCCTATATCTTATGAACAAAGCAAATAGCTCCTTAAAAAATAACTTTATTCCGACTTGCTTTTGACTTGAGCCATTGGGTCTAGTTAGTTTTACACTTCAGTGCTGCCTGCAGTTTGGGCCCCTGAAACGGGCTGGATTATAGACTTGAAAATTAAGCTTAGTCCTATCTTGTCCAAGAATGTAATTTATTGATAATGTTAAATTGCATTCCGTTATTTTCCAAATAAATAAAATGAAAATGTTGTTCAATGTTAAGTTATCATTAAAAAATAAAATAAAATTTTATTGATTATGATTTTGAAATGAATTATGATAACAATCAATTGTGATTTTAGTCAAACTTAAGATCCCTTGTTCGCCATATTGATCTATACACATAAAAATCTGGTGATTAAGAGGAGATACTTTAATTAAGTTAATATGAATGACAAAGAAAGATATATCAAGAGCCCATGAGAAAATAAATTGTAGAGAATTATAATAGGATGGGACTGGGGGTTACAAATGCCGTCAGTAGGCCTGGGCATTACCTGCCATCTAGGTAACGGGCCTAGGTCAGCATGGGCCAGGGATCATGGGGGTCGCGCCAGGCCGGGCCTTGGCCACAGGGTCTCGATCTCAGCCGGCCCACCTAGCGTCTCTCTATTTAAACAAACTTATTTGGACATCTTAATTGCTATAAAACTCTTTAAAGTACGCATGTTTGTTTATTTGAAAGAGAGGAAGTGATATAAATATAAAAACATGTATAGTGGAATAAAGTTTTTGAAATTTCCATCATATACTAAATATTGTAAAAAGGTTAAAATAATATTTAGTAAAAAATATGTTTAACATCTATGCATAATAATTATTTCTTAGAAACAAATACTTATATATCATATAAGATTGTATTAAATAATAGATAATACAACTTAATTGATACAATTTTCGGTTACTTTGTCTTAAAAAAAATTAATTCAAACGGTTGTGTTTTAGTTTGGGATATCGATTTTGATTACAATTAATAAAATTATAGATGTTAATATATTAACTTAAATGTGTTTAATATTGGATAATCATCTCATAAACAAAATTCAAATAAAGACTAAAAAGCTCTTCCACCATTCAATCAGGGTAACCGTCATAAAAACTAAGAATGTAGTTGACAACTTTTCAATATTATGGGTAATGTGTTATTGACCAAAGATAGAGGAGAAAATAATTCTCCTTTCTAATACAAGGAAATATGAATGTCCCATTTTGATTGACACGACTATGGCATCACCCAAAAAGTATTTACAACTGGGAGAAAATTCAACTCCTATAACTCAAAAATAGACAAGATAATCCTCATTCAATGTTGACTTGCATGATACTTCCTTTTCCTCTATGCATTATCTATCTAATATATCATGTCGTCTTATTCCACTTTCATAAAAACAAAAGTTGTCTATGGCTGTAGGTTGTCCATTGAGTTTTTTTTTTTTTTTTTAAATCTTCTTGTACCTATATCAAAAATTGAATAATAAGAAATCTCTTAATAAATATTTTTCATGGTTTTTGAGAACTAATTTCAATTAATTAACAGCAAAATAACATTAATAGGTTGATAATTTGATAATTTTTCATAATTAAGAGGCCAATTCCCTGAATTTATACAAGAAACAATTAGTAAGACTTTCCAAAAGAGAATATACCAAATATGAACTTTCATTAAGAGATGCGAACCCACATGGATTCTTCCTAAACAATAACTATTCAAAACTATAAAGAATTCCCTCCAAATATGCAGATATTGCATTCTATGATCATAAAAAATAATTCGTCAAGAAATAGGAGGTTTTTTCAAGGGCAAAGATAATCGTTGGAAAGATGAAAAATTGCTTGATAATTCCACAACAATTGCCCTTGGAAAATCCTCACTACATAACATTACATTAAAGTTATAAATATCAAAAGGTTAAACTGATATTATTACAATATAAGGACTTTTTAATATTCATGTGGGGTATAATTGAACAAATATGATCCAATATATAGGGTTCTATAATATTGGCCAATGATCAATAATCATTCAAACGACAGCGTCTTGTAAATATTTGTTTGAAGTATCTTTATCATCATATTCCTCACAGTGTTGTATCATTATCGTCTGTGCACATCGGTGTGTTGTTCATGCAAGTCACAACATTTATGTTTCCTTCCATCATCATTCACTCTACTTTCCCACCACCGCCATTTTATATTATCTCTACACTTCAACGATAGAAATCATTGTTTCAGCACTTCAATCAAGTTACACTTATTAACTCTGTATTTCAATTGTAATTCAGTCACAACTATTTGTATTTACTTCAATTGAAATTTCTAGGGCTTTTTTTTTTTTTTTAATCAAGCTACACTATGTAACATACCATGTGACAAAGTCATATATTTTCATTATTTGAATTTATTATTGATTTCATTGTGGAAGGAATACTTAATGTAACAATCTGAGAAGTTGGTCTATGCTATGAGCAATTTGTCAATACAAGAAAATATATACGTTTTTTAAGAAAGAATTAAATCCCGTCATAAAAGGCTTTTATTGATGTCCTATTCAACAATAATATTTTCCCAACTTAAAAGAGTATTATATAAGACTTGAAACACACGTTGTAAAAGCATGGGACCGTATACTAAGAATTAACCCAGTCATATAAGAAAATAAAGGTAAAAGTGTAGAGACTTACAAACGAATAGGAAGTTAAAAGATTTTTGTAAGGATAATTTGCATAGTTGGGAAAGTCAAAAGAACCTATATAAATATTTAGCAGTTAACAAGCTCAGTTGGAATTTTCATAAGATTGACATCGTTAAATTTTAGGAGTTTACAAACATTGTTCCCCCTTCTCCTTTCTTGCAAAGCGCCAAAATAATTTATAAACCCAATGTCGTTAACGAGTTTCTTACTCCTATCGCCGTTGAGTTGCTAGTTGGAGTTGTCACTGAAAGTGCTGGTATGGAATCTCATTTAACTTGTCTTGAATCTGTTGCTTTTTGTTATATTGAAAGTGCACTTCAACAGTTTTTGATGAGTTGCTT